TTTAAAAAAAATGCAATTATAATAATTTTATTTATTTTTATTGTTTTTTTTTTTAGAAAATATTAGAATGTTTTTTACAGTGTATATTTTTTATTGCAAGGCACAATACTTGTCCGCAACTTCGCCCAAGACATCATCACATTCAAACAAATCGTTCACGAGATATATGTTTTTCAATTGATGCGTATCATTTTTGCATAATCCGTTTTCAAGTGTTAGTCGTGTACAAAACTAGGAAACCAAATATGTAAAATGACATGTTGGACAATAATAAACAACTGTGTAAAATAACAAGTAATTCTAAAAACATCGATCCGAAACGATTTGCGCATCTGTGTATGGAACTACTCACCGTCAATCGGACAACAGTTCAGTGGTTCTCAGTGGTAAATAGTGTTACATTGTACGATGTACATCGATTTTGCGAATAAAATTACATCCATTGAGGTAATATTGTATTTCCTTTTTGCTATTATTTCATACATCAGCTTGAATTACGTTGATCGATTTTACATTTTTTTTTACTGTTTAGATAAAAACTAATTTGTCCAGAATAGATCAGACATGAACCAATTCATAACTTTTGCATGTGGGTTCATGGCTTCGTTAAATATTTCCACGGAGCCAGATGTCAGTAATGTGCTTTGGTCAATTTTTTATTGTTTTTACTATGGGCATTCATGTTGGTTTGTCGGTGGGTATTCCCCTCACCATCCCTCTCCAACGGGGGAGTTTGGTAAAGAGAGATGATCATACCGATTTGTACCTTCCTAAACTTGTCCTTGCTCGCTTTCTATTTACTCTCTATAGTACTCTAATGGAACTATCATTTCTATACGTTCATCTCCTCATCTATCGTATAAATATTACCACTTTAGTCTGTTATTTGAAATTACCATCTTCAACTATGTACATCGTTGACATCATGCAGAAGTAATACCAACAATCAATACGAAACTAACGATTTTAAATTGGCTCACTACTTGACTAGCCTATTGGTCCCAAGCAACGTACCCCATTCTAGTCGAAATTCTAGAACTACGCAATGTTTGTTTTGATTCGCTATGAAAGTTTGACAGATAAAAGGAGGGGTTATTGGTTTTTGTTTCTATGTTTCGAGGGGTGAATCGATTAGTTTGCGACCGAAGAGAGTACCAGAGCTAAGCCAAAAAGTTGAGCACGCTATTTCGGGACCTTCTAGTCTTAGAGTTACCTCTATGGTTATACTAAATATATAGTCAAAGCATATATTGGTGCTTTTTGGTGTCAATAAAGTGTATCAAAAAAACTCCCTACTGTTTACAAATTAAACTTAAATGCGACATACTAGACAGATTCTAGTCTTAATGGTTTTGGTGGATGTAATAAACAAAGCTGAATGCTGTTTTATAGTAGCCTTGTAGTATTTCATAAGCCGTAAAATGTTACTTGGGTAGTTTGCGTCCATTGAAAGTCACTAAATCTCTACAACAACCAACTAGCGTTAACACTTTGTAATGCCTCAAATAATTTTATGGAGTAATTTCAAAAAGCGTACACTCTAAGCGGTATTTTTTACAGATAAAAATCATTACCTTCTACTTAAAATCGGCTGTTTTTTACTATAAATTATGACTTTTTTAATGTTAATTATAGATAATCCACGATAACCGATAATTTAGATGTGTGCACCTTCTATGATTATCGGTAATTTTTACCGAAATCTAGGTATTCTTTACCGACTTTTAGGTATGTAGATCTTAGCGGGTAGGTTACTCATGCACACTCAAAAAATGTTGAAATTTAAATAGTATAAAAGTTACGCTAAATCGCAAATCTCCGAAGCAAAGGTCGATATAAAGGGAGAGATTGCAAACTTAGTATAAAAATGGTTTATGCGTTCCATAGTAAAAAATCGAAATATACTTACAATGCATAGATACGGTTTATTCGAGAGAGTGTATTTTTTGCTTCTTTATTTTATTTATGATAAATATTATTGTCTTCAAATAAAAATTAAAACTTGTCACAGGAAAGTTTTTTTAAATTATTTTATTTATTTTTTTATTATTATTTAAAACATACTTACAATTTCGATGTTTATTAGGATGATAACACTCCACACTCCAGATAAAGCAAACCATTTCTCGAATCGTCGCTGCAAAGATTTCCCTTGCACTTAATTTTGAACTTTTACGCACGAAACAAAACAAAACTGCACAACGAATGGCATGAACTTTTTTCACGTATGCCAGTAAGATCATTTATTTTTCATGGTTGCCAAAACAACTTTTTGTGCCTCCGCTTATCTATAGAATCTATGGTATCTATAGTTTAGAAATATCTCCATACACGGAACCGAAAAATTACCCAAAAATTCAGTTCATTTCACTTATCTCCCATATTCCGATCTATAAGCTAATTTTCAGTAAACCGCTAAACTACTAACATTTGACTACGGCAAAAATAATTACTCACTCGTGAGAATTTTTTACCCAAAATTCAGTTCAATTAACTCAAATTTGAGAATATCTCATATACTCACTAGTAGCTTATTGAACGATAGTCATGAGAAAATCGAATCTCTCGTTCCGTTTTAGACAACAAGAAAAAGTGAGAGTGGGATGCAAAACTCAAAATTACCCAAAATTAAGTAAAAAGAACTTAAATTTAGGATATTTTTTTCTCTGTGTACGAATGATTAAAAGCTTCTAGCAACTGAGTAAAAGTAACTCACTCTCTGAGTTAGTTTTGTATTCAATGAACCAACCAGTAAAAGTATGGACGTCTGTCAAAAGTTGTTCAAATCGAACAGTCAAAATCCACCGCTTTGCTCGATTGGAACAGCTTTTTTCCATTTTGCGGTGACATACGTCAATACTTTAACTAGAGGGCTTTAGCACGGACAACATTGAACACACGCGAAGCGCTTACTAAAATCGGATCGTACTCAGAGAGTGAGTAACTTTTACACATTCGCGGGGAGAATTTTATTACTTACGCTTTTAGACATGTCTCCATACGAATGAGTAAAAGTGACTCAAAACTGGGGGAAGGGGGACGGTGCGTGTCCGAACCAATGCAAGTACTTCCTGAAGCTGCGGTGGCCATAGAGCTACTGCGTCAGAATGAAGTTGACTTCTCCGTGTTCTCTGTTCACCTAGATCGAATCCCAGGTATTAGTCTACATGTCCATCTACCGTTCTTTACCGTGTTCTACTCCTGTAGGCACTAAGTCAACGACTTCACTCTCACCACTTTCCGTACTCTTCCGGATTCTCTCTGCTTACATCATTCGCTGTGCTCCACCAGGGTGATGCCGATATGGATTATTCCAGCGATAACGCATACTGTTTCCGAAGAGATGGTTCTGAACGCAGTCACGATTCGCATGACCTTAAATTCTGCTTGGTTTCCAGCGCTGCAACCCAAGCTGGACCTCCATACCTCAGTATCGACGTAGATACACTAGCCAGGAGCAGCTTCTTGGTATTGCATGGCCGAGTTGTTCTTTCAGGCGTATTCGACGTAGCTATTGAAGTTTAGCCGGTCGTCGATCATCACTCCCAGGTATTTCAACACGCTCTTCGAGGCTATGGCGTGCTCTCCGACGGTGACGGTGATATCACTTCCGTTTTGTGTTGGGCAATCTCCAACTTCGCTCCCTGCATCCAGCTACCAATCGTATCGATCGTCTCGAACGCCAAAATGTTCACCTTTTACAGCGTCTCGCCTGTTGCCGTCAAGACGACGTCATCCGAAAAGCCTACGATCTCAACTCGGGCAGCTTCAGCGTTAGCATGCTGTTGTACATCCGTTCCAGAGCGTTGAACCAATGATGAAGCCGTGTGCAACTCTCGCCATGATCCTAATCAATCTCTGTCCCATGTCTATCTCGTAGACCAAAACCCGGTGGTGGAAGTAATTGGTTCGTGAGTTGGTTTTTAACCTCAAGTTAAGGTAATCGGATTACTAATTAGGTTAAAATGGGCTAAGTTAGGTTAAGTTTTCCTTTTATTTCATAAAGTGTGTTCGTATATATCTGTATGGATGATAAGGAGTTCGTGTATATGAAAGTACACGAGTGAGTGGGTACACTACAGTCGGGTGTACGTTCTACCACCAGAATTTCCGGATCACGATCTAGCATTGGTGCTAACCCAAGTAGCACCTGTAACATCTTTTTATAAGAGAGAAAGAGAAACATGTTACACAATTATTACATAAAAGTAGTCATCAAATATATGCAGTTACATATCAAGTCAACATGAAGTTACCTCATGACTTTCTAAGACAGATTAATGTGACACAACGGTCATTGGTAACTCCATAGTCAGATTTTCACGATGTTGAGATAAAATGCGACTTATCTGGTCTCAATGATGACACAGTGTAACCTTTTTGTGTCGATCTAATGTTATCAATTGGTTGAACTGTAACTGAGTTGTCACGTAATAGCGATCGAAAATTTACGAATTTGTAACTTGGCAACTATTGTATGCCGCATTACAGTTGCATTTTCGTTTCAGCGTGACCCTAATAGTCGCATGTCTTCAGATGGTAACACAAATGCAATCTCTATGATCTGTTTATTAATTTATTTGATAAGGCTCAACCGAATTAACTTTACAGAGCCGAGGATTCTTGGTCACTATACAATACATCTTAAAACTATAGTCAAAAGGTACAACACAATAAACACTTTATCTTCCGCTATCCAAAAAGCCTCCTCCACAAGAACTGGAGCCGCTTCCAGTGGTTTAATTGTATGGCAAATTGTTGTACGCCAACGAGGGTCAGAGCGCGTCCATTGCAGCAATGGACGCAAAACGTGGTCAGCACTCATACACTCATCACGAAACGGTTGCTTTCCAAAGTCGACGACGCATCGACCGAAAGAACGGCTGATGAAGAACAATGAGGAGGACCACACAATGGTTGCTGCCGAGAAAACAGACGATCGCGTAGCACACATCGAGAGTGGCCTGCTTTTGTCGACAGCCGAGTGAACACTGAATCTCTATGATCTGAACAAATGAAAGCTACACCGCCGCTCTAAAATGTTTCACCAATCGCAATCTAATTGCTTGTTCCTGTTTTTTATCCAAATGGTAAAATATTTCATTAATGGTGATGCAATTGTAAATGTTAAGGCTCAGCACAAATTAATAGAAACGAGGTTTCATTATAATCTCAAGTAATGTTCATGAAACTTTTTGTTAGAAGTGTAACTCTCGAACTCAGTGTACACAGAAGATTTTTTTCTTCGAATGATAAAAAAAATATGGTAATAAATCAATTGGAATATAAGATGGCGCATTTATTTTATCAGTATAAAACTCCCGTAAATTTGAAACTGCATTTATTTTTTTCTCTGATACGTGTTTTCGTTAAAAATATCTCTAATTATTTTATAATTTTATCATCGCCTCAAAATGTTAATGCAATAAAGGTACTCTATAAAACAATTTTCGTCGTCGAAATTAAACTAATGTTAATCAACGTTACAAGTTACCTTTCTTGTTTGTAATCCAATATTGTTATTTCGTCACTACTGTGTAACTAGTTTTGTAACATTGAATTGGTTACATATCAACTTACATTTTGCGCTTTTTGGGGTGCATTGCTGTTGCCTTCATGGTTACTTTAATGATTTTACGACACATAATTTGGTCACAAAATAGTGACAGCAACTTTTATGTGACAGCATGTGCTACTTGGGAAGTAAACCGTTAATATTAAGCGTCTCATCCAGGATATGTTAGCGGTGCCGCTGGTGTAGTGGTAAGCGTGTCTGCCTCTCACTCCAAAAGGGCTGGGTTCAATCCCAGTCAGCACCATCGGGATTTTCTGAGGTATAAAATCTGTAACAACGCCTTCCTTCGGGAAGTAACGCCGTTGGTTCCCAGTCCAAGAGCTGTGGGGTCCATAGGTAGGATCCAGGTGTGGGAGTTGCCATCCTGGCGTCGGTAGCATTGGTACTCAGTACGATACGTTAGCATTGATACTACAGTACAGATCGACAAAACACAAATCAAGGAAAAAAAATCCAGGAGGTGTTTCCTGCTGAGCTACCGGGTGTTCAATAAAAAATGAGAATGATTTCAGTGCCGTCCAGCGCTCTTGTGAGAGCATCGCGACTAAGTTGCATCGTACGGCTCCAATATTCATTGTCGTTTTTTTGAAGAATAAACGTTATGTTTTTAATAAAATATTTACTTTTTTAATTGAACACCCGTTAGGCCTCGACATACACACAGGTTTGCAGGGTGTTTATATGGACGTGGACGCTTCATTGTCTCTAACGGAAGGAAACATTTACGCCGACCAGATCAAGAACACGTGTCTCTTGGAATTGAAAAAAATAAAGAATGATTGAAATAAAATATTCCAATCATAGCTAAATTATGTCATAGATTCAATGTGTTTTATATTTTGATGCTTACCGATAAAAAAAATTGAATGTAATGATTAACGGTGACAAGTTAAACCATGCATACAAAAAAAATAACGCGTGAACGGCGATGGTAAAGGTCTATTGGTGTACATATTTGCTGCCTCAAATATTCACTATCATCATCGTTATCTATCATTTGATTAGTACTCTCTACTTACAGAGAGGAAAATCTATTGCTATACAAGCATACGCACTTATACATATGTTAATAACTTTGATTATCAACTGCAGAATATATGATCTTAACAAATAGAGTACTAAATTTAACAGACTTAAATATAACTGTTCCAGAAATAAAATCACAACAATGAAAGTAGTATCACAATTTTGCATGAAAGTTAAAATCATTCTCGTTTCCATTTCTACACACTGAAGAACCTCAGATGAAGCACAAGCTTTCACTATATGCACTGAGTCTTGTATTAATAACTCTTTGGAGATCACGGTGCTGCATGGAAAATGTTTGATATTTCACTCATAGTAACAGGCAAGGATCCTTAAGTATAATAGCTGATGAAATTGGAACACTCAGACATATGGTCGAAATAATTGCCGCCACCTTTGAAGATGTCACAGGAAATGCTGCGTATAATGGTGCTCCGAGTAATGCTCCAATGTGTCCACCACAGACGAAAAATCCAATCGCTGTACACCTGAAAGCAGCAAAAAGAAGTTCACTGAAGTATAAATAAGTATACAAATTGCATTACAGTGTAAGCTTTTTATGTCAGTATTTAAGACTTATGACAGACATACCGAATAGTACTGTACTTATTTAATTTAGTACGTCGATTGCAGTATTAGAGAAAATAATACAATCTCGCATAAGGGAAGGTCTATTAATTATGTCACGCAAATTTTGCCCATTTTCTACATTTTTTATATGGATCCTAATTGTTTTTTGTAAGGCTTGTCACAGTTTCCAAACCCCCCCCCCCTCCTCCCCGCTAAAAGTGTGACATAATTAATGGACGATCCCTAAATAATAACCATAAGAAGCGCATAACCACCAATTGGGATATCATCCCAACTCTATGCGGTATGGTCGCACCAACTATGATATCGTTTGTATACGGACCCGTTTATAAGAGATGGTACTGCTTGGTATGCTCAACATTTCAAAATGACGAATCTGCTTTTGTAAACAATGACTTGCTATCGCTTTCACGTGAATAAAAGCTCACACATGCAAACTAACAACACCATCAAGTAGGGGAGATGGGGTAATACTAATTATAGTCGCTATATTCATAGTCTGGCGGATAGAATCTCGGGAACCAATTGAGCTGTCAAATAGCGGAACCAATCGAGCAAATCACGACCAACAAAAGAAAAGAGCACATCAGCTATTGCGAACAAAATTTCGGAAACCGTTTTCTCGTGACTCAAGGTTCGCCTACACAAACTAACGCGATCTTTTGGTTGTGGAAAGTTTCCCCTAACCGATGATGCTGGTAATTTATCTTCGATTGCCGATTCAAGAATAATCAACGTTTTGTTTATAAAAGTTGATAGTACCTTTTTCAATTGTTGGTCTATAATATATTGAAATGGTTCCGCTCTTTGATAAATCGAAATTCTATCCGCCAGACTATGAATATAGCGACTATAATACTAATGGGTATTGATAGCGTGGATAGATAACCTTTTCGTGGTACGTTACGGGATCTTCTACCGATTCCTAGGCCTTGTTACTTTTTATACCTTGTTGATAGAAGACTTGGCTTTGTCCACCGAGGATCCAGGAAAAAAATTACCATACATTTACCATAAAATAATATTAAATCACAACAAAATCTATTGCTAACAATAGATCTTATTGTATGTATACCATACAAGTAAATTTAAAATATTGTTATTACAATAGATCTACAATACGTCCCATATTGCATGAATGTTCATCAATAGAAAAGCAATAAAATTAATGATTAATGGCTCAAGTTTGTTCGGGAAATGTTTTGTATGGTTAAGATACCTAACAACCCCTTTGTTCTATTGTATATTTCCCCATTTACCATAGATACTACTACAATAAATTATATCGTTATTTTATCATTGTGGACAGTATAATTTATTTTAAGTACAATAAATTCTATTGTATGGTTACAATACATTTCATTGTACCTCTATCGTTCTTTTTTTACGGGATGATCTTGAATCAAGGAAAAAATGAGTTGGTCTTCATCTATGTGAATCCTAATCTTCTATTCGTTGTTCCTTAGTTGAAGTGGTTAAGACTAGGGTTGTGATGCATGGTTATAATCGGTGTCATTGCTTAATTTTGTTGCTAAGGAATCCAATTTTTACTGACAAAGGGATGTGCTTTTGGAGGGTGCTCTCACACTTCGAAGCGTATTAATAGCGGGACCTTTCAATTAGAATCGATTCCTTGAGATGAAGGCAAGATTGCTAACCGTTTCAAAAGTGAATACCTTATCATTTCTCAAAAGTGATGATAATATATAAGAAAAGATATACTACAATAGATCAAATTACTGGTCACAGTGGTATTATGTCCCGAACAGAGGAAAAACAAAAAATGCTAATAGATCCCAGTTTAATCCACAAAGTGAATCGATACATAAAAGCAATACCATCTATTTGATTGATTAGGCTATTGACCTTGTACTAAAATGTTATACTTAACCCTTTGTCTGTATCTTGGGGTCAATATGACTACAGGCAATATTTGAAATCTTGATAATTCATCAAACGGCAAACGTTTCATGTAACGATTTATTTCATGCAACCAGGGTTACTTTCACTCACTTGCTATAAAAAAAATGTTTTTCGAAAATATGAAATCATGATATAGTATAATGCCAATTAGTACTTGTAAGTTACAAGAAAAGGTCATGAAGTTTATGTTATAAAATCTGTCAATATTGCTTGCAGTGCGTCACAATCAGAGATTTTAGGACTCGTGAGCGCTTACTCTGAGTGAACGCTCACGAATCATAAGATCGCTAATTGTGACGCTCTCAAAGCGAAATTGACAGGTTTTATGAGTCAAACACATACTTTACTCCCTCTTTTTGTTACTTACAAAGTACAACATAGCATTATTGCATCTAATGATTGCATAATTCCGAATAATATTTTTTAATAGCAAGTGAGTGGAAGCAACGATCAAACTGCGACTAACTACATGAAAAAGGTTATGCTATGATCCAACCCGCTTTTGCTCTGCTGCTAGTGCGCGCTTGTGCTGGTGCAAGTGCTACTAGCATCTGTCAGTTAACGGGGTTCGGCTACCTGCTACCAACTAGATTACACCGTAAAAGCTTTGGGCGTACCAGCATGTTTTCAAAAAACTAAGGGATCTGAGCATTATTTTAATGGATGCGATATCGTACGCAGGTAAAGCTGCCTCCCTGCACATTCGATTGCCGTCAATGGATGGCGATCGATGTCCGTCGGTAATTAGCACTAGATTGCGAGACCGCACTAGATTGCATAGACCGACGTTAAACAGAGGAATGAAGAAGAAGAAGAAGAAGAAGAAGAGCATTATTTTAGCAGCACCAGTGGTGTAGTGGTAAGCGTAACTGCCTCTCACTCCAAGGGCCTGGGTTTAATTCCAGTCGGCGCCGTCTGGATTTTCTGAGATATATAATCTATTTGAAGTAGTACCAAAGAAGAATACTGAGATGAAACCAAAGAAGAATACTAAGATGAAACCAAAGAAGAATACTAAGATGAAACTGTCGGAAGAAAAACTTTCTATTTTAGTGTCCTCTTTAACGGTCCCTTTCATCCAATGAATACCCACCGTATGCGAGGTAATTTGGTGGTTTTGCTGCCCCCTCGGTAGAGATGAAATTTTGCGCCCTTTTTTTTTATCAAAACAATCACCAAAATCAGAGATGTCCCATTTTTTGATTACTCGATTAACAACTAATCAATTATTTTTTGTTCGCTGTGTTGTCATTTTTCCACCAATGAGAGTGCAGCACATGTTTGAAACAATCGGTGATGATCCTCTGGAGAAGTTAATGCTCATATCGGCATGATATAACCTATTACAAATATCTTACTTTTAAGGTCGTTAATCGATTAATCGATTATTCGAATGAAAATCGACAATGACTACACTGAAAAAAGTTTTCACTTAGTTTCTATTAGGAACACACATAATATTTTCCAATAACAAAAATAATGATTGTTATCTGAATATCACACAGCACAAGATATTCTATGTGAGAAATCATATAGATTTCATTGGACACATAACGTTCATGTGATTTAGTGGTGCAATTTCCAATTATGGGATCACATGAAAGTTATGTGAAATTCACGTAGATATTTTCCACTGGTTATGTGATTTATTTTATGAGTGTAGATGAATGTGAAACGTCATTTCAAATATAAGGACCTTATATAAATAATGGTACAATTTGAAAGGGACCGGGGCTAATCACAAATTATGTCCCCACAGTAACTGAAATAAACACGAGTGCATTTGACTCGCTAGTTGGGCCAACTGACAGAAGTCTAAAATTTGTTGAGGGGTGTGCGCATCCTTTAGTGAAAAGATTTCACAAAAAACGGATTAAAGCAAGCTGCTTGAAGCAGAGTGGAAAAAGCAAATCATTAAGTACACAATTTTTGTTTTTGTTTTCTTCTAGAATTTTAAATGAAACTCAAATGTTTCGAGCAAATACCAATTGTTAACATTCACTACATATGATTCGCAGTCCTAACCGCATATGCTTACCCCCTGGAAGAATTTATGATCGATTGTCAAATCCAATTTGACATGAGATTTTCACATCCAGTTGCTTTTTAATTGGGTCATGGCCCAACCAACGGAGGCCCAACTAAAAAGCAGTAATTTTTTCGACTAGCTCTACAGGGGGCTTTTCTTTGTACATGTCTACCAGGGACGCTAGCATTATCCTTTTTTTTCCTTTATCATATTTCCAAGAGGCGCAAGCCTATTTTTCCATTTTTCCTGGAGAGTGTTTACCAGAAGCGCAAGATATTTTAAATTTATTTATTTTTTTATTTTTTTGTTAACCTGTCTACCAGTGACACAACCCATTCCACATTTATATATGTTTCTAAACATTTTTCTGTTATGTTTAGCAGGGACGCAAGCCACTTCAAATTTAACTGTTTGATAAATTTTTACCTGCACATGTTTACCCGAGGTGCAAGCCATCTAAAATTTTACGTATTTTTCATTTTTGTTTTCCTGAAGTTGTCTACCAGGGGAGCAAGCTATTTTCAATTTGAAATTTTTTTAATCAAATTTCCTGAACCAAATTTAATGTTTTTATCTTTTTTTCCAGAACATGTTTATCAGACGCAAGCCATCTCAAATATATCGATTTTGTATCCCTGATCATGTATATCAGGGTCGCAGACTATTTCAAATTTCAACCTGAACATGTTTACCAGATGCACTAGCTATTTCTGATTTTTACCCGAACTTGTCTACCAGGGGCGCAAGTCACTAGAAATTTAATATTTTCATTAAATTTTTTCCGCAAATTGTCTACCAAGGGCACTAGCTTTTTCAAATTTTAATTTTTTTTTAAATATTTTCCAGATTGACGTTTTTTTTCTGAATATGTATATTAGGGGCGCTGTCCACTTTAAATTTAACGATATTATTCATTTTAAACATGCTTACCAGGGGCGCAAGTCA